CTTGATCTCGGATTCAACGCTTGCGATTGCAGCACAGAGTAACACAGCTCAGACAGCTCTGCAGCTCAAGCTCTGTGGGGGCCTGCGCCAGCTCTTGGTACACCTCTTGTGCCTCGGCCTCGGCCTGCGGGTGTAGCTGTGCAGTACGGGCCGCACAGGCACGGAGCAGGAGCTCGCGCGACCCGGCTGCAGCCGTGCGCAAAAAGGAGCCGTCCGGGTTCTCCGCTGCTTGCGCAAGCAGCTGAGCCGTGGTGAGATTCTGCAGGGCACCGAAGCGCTCCAAGTCCGTCCAGGAGAAGACGTCAGTACCCAATGCCAATGCGCTCGGAGCTTCGGTCACGGGAGTGACAGGTTTGTGCAACATCTCCTTGAGCATGGGGTCTATGACCTTGCGCAGTTGGTTCAGACTGCGTCCCAACTCGTTGAAGGAGAAGCCGAAACGCTGCCCCACCGGCACCACCACGTGCACCATCACGAAGGAGAGCAGAATAATGCCGATCATGACTAGGACAGGCAAGGCGAGGTGGTACACTCCAACGGCGGCGCGTGGTGCATCCTGCCAGAGTCCGAAACCGCGACTTGCCGCCACAATAGCGCGGGAACTGACATGTCAAGAATCCTTTCTTGAGGAAGAATGCGGAATATATCGGCTCCCGGTATCTATACACTTACTCGGTCTAAGGATTGACTGGGATCCGAGCTTCGATGGGACAGTCCGGGATTTGAGCTTGATAGATGAATTTCGGCCTTCACGCGCTATGTCCACTGGCAATCTACTAACTTTGTGGCACCATCGCATGCCCTGGGCAGGGCCTGGGCAAAGCACTGGGTGGCCGAGTCGACAGATGTCAGAACAGGCGTCAGCGTGAGGGTCTCGAAGATGCTTTGCATCGCTGCGCTGACCTGCTGCAGGGTACAGCGGGTTTTCAGGGATGGGTCGGTATGGGGCAAATCTCGGGTCCGAAAGACACTTCAAGAAGCGCCACCTGCAAAGGCCATGGGAAGAGCGGAGAGTCTTCTGTGATCTCGAGCGGAATTTGACTCAGGTCGAACGCCGTCAGGACGGAGCAGGCAGCCAGCCACTGGGCGGCGATGCGGATCATCACTGTGTGGAGCTTGCTGCTTGCTCTGACGGCTGCCGTTGCGGCCATGGCCGCGATCACGAAGTTGAGCATGGCCTGTCATCCCACTACACGTCCTATGGTCTGATATTCAATGGCAAACTTCCAGCCCCAATACGCAAACCTGAATCCAGCCTGGCTTGAACTGGCAGGTAAAGAATTTCCGGACTAGGCCAACACCCCTGAAAGCTGAAAAACTCGCGGCCTTCGTCCCAACATCGATGATGACTGAGGCTACCAGTGGCAAAACAGCACCAGAAGCGCACGGCTCGCATGGCTGCTGGAAGGCACTCCTGGCCCAACCAGCTGGGCATTCTCCACAAAGGAACCCGGTGGAGCCTTCGTCGCAGGCGTTGTCATACTTGCCAAAGCATTCCACTGTGTCGTCTTGCGTGCATAGTTGCCCTCCGAGGCAAGCGCTGAGACCAGTGGCTGTCACGGCCGTGCACTTCACTGCAATTGTCACTCCTGTTTGGAAGTAGCCCGGCCGGGCGACAGGCAGCTTGTGGTTCCCCGCCTGAGTGATGCCCGCCTGAGTGTGAAAACCACCCAAGCATTGCAAATGAGGAAGGAAGGCACAACTGCCGCACCTGGACAGAGATCCTGCATCGAGAACTGCATAAAATCCTGGCATGCAGAAGCAGGCTGTTAAGTTGGTGGACGCATTGGCACTCTGGGCGTTTGTGGGGCACTGCAAAAGGCACGATGGATCGTTAGCCAGCGTGGGCTTGTACCGTCCAGGTTGGCATGGCTCACAGATGCCCTGAGCTAGGGCATAGTGTCCAGGAAGGCACAAGCAGTCTGCCTGCAGGATCGAGCCAGCGCGTGAGGTGGCACTGTCCTGGCACCGCCGCTCTGCACCCTGACCCGGGCAAAAGAAGCCTTCCATGCAGTCTCGGCAGGTTTCGCCGTCTGCTGCCAGACCCGACCGGCACTGACAGTCGAGAGGAGACATTGCGCCCTCCATGGAGGTCTTATTGGTAGAGCACCGGCTGCAGGGGTGTCGCCTACAACTGCTTTGTATTCGCCCGGAAGGCATGGTCTGCACTGCGCGATCTCCTCGTCAAAACCATAGCCCTCTCGGCATCTGCAAGGCTCTGTGCTTCCAGTGCCGTTGCTGAGGGTGCCCGCGCCACACAGCGAGCACGGGAAGTCTCCAACGCTGCCCTTGAAAAATCCAACTGGGCATGGGGAACAAAGCCCGTCTTCCAAGAAGCTGCCAGGGTCTGAAGGCCCCCTGTACAGAAGAAGCCTACGCCGCAGGCTTCGCAAACTGCAGGGTTGTCGGGCTGCGTGTTGAAGAAGCCCGCCATGCATCTGCAGGACGCAAGGCTGGTGGCTCCCTCCTCCAGTCATGAGCAGGCAGACAGGCGGCAAGACAAGGAAGAGAAGAAACCTCAAGCAGCTACCTACGAACTGCAGACGACCCGCCTGCAACGTCGAAGACCCAGCCGGGCAGGCCAGGCAGATGGCGCTCTCTGTGTCCCAGTAGCGCCCTCGAAGGCACAAACAGTCGGAGAGTTGGCCTCGGTGGAAGAGAACAGCTGAACGATGCTGACGATCTGTTTCCGTGAGATGAGGACAGCGTGCGAGGCTGTCTGCTGGGCGGCGGACTTGAGCCCTCTGCCGAAGTGCTCGCCGACGGACAGCTCTGCACTTCGGATCCTCCGGGGCAGAAGTGGTTTGCCGGACAGGGCAGACAGGAGGAGCCGGGCCCTTCGCTGTACTCGCCGGGTGGGCAGATGACGTCCAAGTTCAGGGCCACCACGAGAAACTCCTCTGCCGAAGTGCAAGGGGCCGTGGCAGGGCACCAGCAAAGCTCCAAAGCTTCCGGTTTGAGGCCCTCCGTTGGGTCTAGGAAGCCGACGTGCAAGGTGTACCAACCGTACGACTCGTTGAAAGAGACGGAGACGGAGCGCTGGTAGTAGGTGGAGGCGGAGGCCTGAGGCTCTCCACTGCATCGGCTCTGCATCACGAGGCTGTCGTTCACCGAGATCCTGACTCCTCGCCACCCTGAAATCGTACAGTCTCTGCCTAGGTAGCATTGATCCGACTGGTGCAGCTGCGGCCCCTCCACGACAAAGTACCCCACTGTCGCACTGAAGTTGTCGGGATGACTGCAGTTGGTGTCACACCAGCACAGGCGGTGATGCCCCGGTTCCGCAGAGAGGGGGGTTGCGTGTCCTCCGAACATCCAGAGATTCTCCTCCGCTTCATCAGAGAGCGGCGTGGGGAGTTCTGCCACTTTATCCGGGTCGGAGCAGGTGCGTTTCACGGTGCCAACACCCGAGGCATTCCAGCGGAAGGAGCAGTTGCGGCCCAGCTGGCAGCTGACCAACAAGGGCGAACTGGTCTGACTCACCACGTATCGCCAGGTCTGCTGCAAGTACGAGGCATTGAAGCCCCCGAAGGACAGCAAGCCACGAGAAGCGTAGTCCCAAACAATGCCATGACCGGTACGGCCGGTTGGGCCTAAGACCTCGGTTTGCAAGCCTTCTTGCTTCCAGGAGTTTGTCAAGAGGCTGTAGTTGTAGAGAGACGACTCGTAGCTGAGGTCGTTGCTCACATTTGTGATGCCACCCATTACAAGCATGCTCATTGACACCGTGTCCCACGCAGCGGCATGCCCAGCCCGAGCCGTGGGCCAATGTCCTGAAGCTGACAAGTCGGTCCAGGTGCCTGCTGAGGCATCGTAGCTGCGAAGGTCATCCAGGTAATGCTGCCCACTCCACCCGCCAACAACGAGCATGGAGCGAGTTGTGGGCACCCAAACGGCAGTGTGCCGGCCGCGCTCCGGCCCCTGTCGCCCCAGGCTCGCTCCACTGGCCGTCGGCGAGGCTGTAGCGCTGGAGGTCCTCCAACACCTGGCTGCCGCTCTCTCCTCCAAGAACTAGCACCGCATTTTCCGAGGGGTCCAGGATCGCGGTGTGGTAGGCGCGTGCCGACGGCTTCGCCAGGGCAGGCAATTGCCTCCAAGTGCTGTCGTTGCTGCCATATTGCCAGACGTCATCGTAGAAGGTGACTTGAAATCTTCCTCCAAACACCAATATAGATCTCGAATGCGCCTCCCACAGCGCTGCGTGGCCCCATCTGGCGCCGGGGGCGGGGCCCTCAGTCGACGGCAGGATCTCAGTCCAAGCCCGTCGAGGCCAGTCGTAATGCCAGAGGTCCGCAAAGTAGAGGAAAGCGTTGCTGGCGTGGCCCCCGAACATCCATGCGGACTGAGTCTCGCTGTCCCAGACCATGGAAGCGTCCTGGCGGTCGGCGGGGCTTCCGGCGGGTGTGTACTCGCTCCATGCATCCGACTCGCACTCAAGGCCTCCACTGAAAAACAAAAAACAAAAAAGCGCAACATCAAGTTCTGGTCATGCCTGCACTTCCACGTGAATTGCACTTGCAGTGAAGTCCTACAAGTAGCTTTCACTTCAGCGGCCTGCAGCCTCTTGAGGAGCGCAGTCGTGCACATGCGACCCGCGGAAGCTGCAGTCGCGAAGGCTCACCTCTGCACCCGTACACCTAACGTTGTCAGCAAAGATGGCGCCAGCCCCCGAATCGCTCCACATTGCCAAGGGTGCCATGGCCTTGCCACCGGCCAGGCCGAGATCGCGGCAGGCCACTTCGGCCACCCTGTCATCAAACTTATCGTCGCAGACGAGGCCCACGGAAGCGTTGTGCTGCATTTGAAGCAGCCCTCTGGCAAAGACATGGTCTCCGTCGATGGAAAGCAGACTAAGACCCTGAAGAGCACCGAGGGTCACGGGAAAGAGCTCCGCAGGCACCAAGGCCACGCCGAGCTCGCTCGGCACCTGGCCGACGCTCAGTGTGCTGCCGAGACCCAGCTGCCCAGAACTGCCCACGCCCCAGCACCTGCAGAGCAGCTGGGCAGGGCACCCGGACCACCTACGAGCTTTGTTGGAGAGCGCAGCCGCACCTCGTGCTGTCGTCGTCCAGGAGCACGCAGGTGTGGTGGGTACCGGCACTCACGTCCCGCACCTCGAGATTGCCGAAGTCGACCGCGCGGAGATTGGATCCCATTTCTGAGGGCTCATCACCCAAGTTCTGCGTGTTGCCCTGGCCGAGCCTCAAGTCGTGCGGGCCGCTATGGAGTTCTTGGAGAGCGAGAGGTTCAAAGCACTCTTACTCATACGTCCCCCTACACCTAACTGACTGAGGCCCAGGCTGGCCGCTTGCTCCCAAGCCCCAACACTTGAGGGATGCATCTTGCAGGATGGCACAAGTGTGATCACCGCCAGACGTGATACGGACGACCGTCATGCCATCACCCAGATCCGTAGCAGGAAGATTGACGCCCATCTCACCGGGCTGTTCTCCCGCATCTTCAAGGTTGCCGTGCCCCAGCTGCCCCACGTGATTCCGACCCCAGCACTTTACCGCGCCGTCGGACAGGACCTGCCACAGGCAATGTGACACGATGCGATACAACGAGTCCAGCGCGCTGGATGCGGGCAAGCGGCGACGCAAGCGTGCGAAAATCCGGCTGTAATCTGCGCAGGAAGGGGACCCAAGTCCACTGCAGGCAGAGCATCACCCATCTGGTTGGGGCTGGCGCCGATGTACACTCCGCTATCCCCAAGTCCCAGTCCCAGGCGGTCGCTCTGTCCCCAACATTTCACGGCACCTTGGCTTGAGAGAGCACAGCTGTGGGAATCTGCCAGGGCGAGCTGCGCCGCTTGGAAGTCCGTGCCCAGGTCAACCGCAGGGAGCTCCGAGCCCATCTCGCCGGGATCGTTGCCACGGCTCTCCCTCAGTTTGTGAAAAAATGTGAAGAGGCTCTCTTGCGTACACTGCACTCTCTCTCGAGAGCCGGCACGGGTAGCCGGGATCTGGCAGCTCGCAACCTCTTAGGCCCACGCTCGTCGCCCAAGCCCAGACGAGTTCCTTGCCCGAAGCACTTCACTCCCGCCTCGAAGCAGAGCGCAGGTGTGGCCCCATCCAGCAGCCACCTGCACCACATCCACACCAGGGCCCAGGTCCGTGGCTGGCAGGTGCACGCCCATCTCGAAGGGATCGTCTCCAATATGGAAGGCGGCTCCGTGGCCAAGCCGGCCGGACCAGCTCCCGAAGCATTTCACCACGCCCGTCTCGAGAACTGCGCAGGTGTGCCAGGCACCGCAGGACACCTCCGTCACTCGAACGCCCGGCTCCCCGAGGTCCACCACCGGCAGGTTCTCGCCCATCTGGCCGGGAGCCATCCCCACATTTTCTTCGCTACCGTAACCCAACCGGCCGTCACCGCCATATCCCCAGCACTTCAGGAGGCCCTCGGCCTTGAGAACTGCACAGTTGTGCGCGTTAGTAGAAGAAAGGCTGAGGAACTCTGCCGGGGCTGCTTCCGGCCCCTCCCAGGCGAGGATCGCGTCCAAAGCTACTTCGGACGATTGGCCGGAAGCCCCGCAGAGCTCTCGAAGCGCAGCATCTCCACCCCGGTTGGGAGCGTCACCTTGGCCTGAAGCCAGTCGCCTCCTTGGTTTGCTTGCCGGGACCAGAGCAAGCTCCAGCTTCCTCCTTTCAGATACCATAGCTCCAGCTTGCCGACGCTAGTCCCAAGCATGTGATACGCGAACTCCAGGTAGGAGACGTTGACGAGCTTGGGGAAGACCGGGCTTTGAGCATGAACACCTGCCCAGGCGCAGGGGCACGGGGCGGATCGGAGAGTTTTCAGCACTTGAGAATTTGCGAGCTTGCCTGATTCGGAATTCCTCCTGGGCTGGTGCTCAGGAACGCCTGCAGGCACAGGGCGATCGGAGAGTTTTCAAGAATTTTGCGACCCCTACCTCATCACCAATTCCTCCTGTATAGACATAGCTCTCGGCGTGGAAGGCGGCCTCGGGCCCTGTGTGGGTAGGATCTGCAGAGGGGTGGCTACGGCGCTGCCAGTCTCCTGCCCACTTGCAGGTGTCCTGCTCGAAGGTGCAGCTCACGTCCGCCAGAGCTCCAGCGGACTCCATGGCCCACAAGGAATCCAGCTTCACCATGTCGAGATCGGTGGTGACGTTGGCCACGAAGCGGAGGCCCACGGTGGCTTCAGGGATGGTGACGATGGCGGTGTGCCAAACGGTGCTGCGGTCACCCGACTCGAGCAGCAAACGCTGCCAGCCGCCAGCGGAGGTTTTGTGTTGTAGTTCCAAAGCCACGGTCTCCGAGCCGGAGAGCTGGTAGTCGAAAAGCAAGACCTTCTCCTCCGTGGTGTTGAAGAGTGCCGCCGACAAGATCCATTCCGGAGCTTGGGAACTGTTCCCAGAAGCCTCCAGCCACGGGTCAGTCGCACTGCCTGCAAGCTGCCAGGAAGAGGCACCAGTGCTCTGCCACAGGCAGGAATCAGGAAGGAAATCACAAGTGAGATGTTCGAACTCCACGGCCGTCAGCCCAGTGGTGATGCCATCCAACGCCATATCGCTGTACCAGCCAAAAGCAGGTGTGGTCCCGACGAAACGCACTGCCGTGACGTTTGGCTGCAAGTGCACCACGGCCAGCTTCCAATTAACGCCTTGCGCTCCTGTTCGCGCCCACAGCTCCGTCCACCCAGCGCTGCTGAAAGCTTCCAGCCGCAAGCGGCCCATTTCATTGTCCACCCCGTACATGTGGAAGTGGAAGTGGAGATGCCGGATTTCCCCGGACGGCTCGAACACGCTGCTGCTCAGCATGAAGTCCTGCAAAGCGCACGACTCCAGCAAAACACAGGCTAGGCAGGCTTCACCTTGCTCCAGAGACGGTGCACTCAGTTCATGCAGCACGCAGGATGTTGGGATATGTTGGAATTTAACATGATGTTACTATGATGTGACAGCAGCACAGTAGCCTCAGATCAATAATCGGAGCCTCCGGCCTGGTCGATAGCCAAGGACTCCACGTAAGCGTACCAGTCGTTTTGCATCGGCGACGTCGGTCCAGTCCCCACATAGGCACTGCCGGTGGATCGCAGCCAGGGATTCGCGCCGATGGACCTGGTGGCCCAACTGCAGAAGTCGACTTCGAAGTCACAGGCTATCTGTTCAAAGTCGCGCGGCAAGTTCGCTGCATGGAGCGAGTCAATCCGCACGGCGTCTGCCTCTCCGGTGACATTGGCAAGCAAGCGCAGGCACACCGTGGAAGAAGGGATGGTGACGATGGCGGCATGCCAAATTGCGCCGCGGCTGCCCAACTCCAACCACAAACGCTGCCAGCCTCCAGCGGAGGTTTTGTGTTGTAGCTCCAATGCCACGGTGCCCGAGCCGTTCAACTGATAGTCGAACGCCAAGACCTGCTCCTCAGTGGTGTTGAAGAGCGCCGCCGTCTCCAAGATCCATTCCGAACCTTGGGAACTGTTCCAAGAAGCCTCCAGCCACGGGTCAGTCGCATTGCCCGCAAGCTGCCAGGAAGAGGCACTAGTGCTCTGCCACAGGCAGGCATCATGAAGGAATTCACAAGAAAGCTGATCGAACTCCACGGCGGGCAGCCCAGTGGCGATGCCATCCAATGCCATGTCACCCAACGAGCCGCCGGCAAATGTGGTCCCAACGAAACGCACTGCGGTGACGTTTGGCGGCAAGTGCACCACGGCCAGGTTCCAATAAACGCCTTGCTCTCCTGTTCGCGCCCACAGCTCCGTCCACCCAACGCTGCTGAAAGCTTCCAGCCGCAAGCGGCCCATGTCCACCCCGTACATGTGGAAGTGGAAGTGGAGATGCCGGATTTCCCCGGACGGCTCGAACACGCTGCTGCTCAGCGTGAAGTCCTGCAAAGCGCCCCTACTCCAGCAAAACGCAGGCTAGGCAGGCTTCACCTTGCTCCAGAGACGGTGCACTCAGTTCATGCAGCATGCAGGATGTTGGGATATGTTGGAAGTTGACATAATGTTACTGTGACTATGATGTGACAGCAGCGTAGTAGCCCTCAGATCATCAATCAGAGCCTCCGGCCTGGTCGATACCCCGGGAATACACTTGAGCGAACCAGTCGTTCTGAATCGCCGATGGCGGTCCAGTCCCTACCCAATAGCTCTCGGTGGATCGCACCCAAGCATTCTGGCCTGTGGACCAACTGCAGAAGTCGACTTCGAAGT